TATTGTGTTTGGTTTGGGAGCTCACTGTAAATAACCGCGCTGCGCCGGGGCCGCAGCCTCCGGCAGAAAGTCAAAGGCGCCTCAGAGCAGTCGTCCGCCCCGACTGCTTCCCGCCCGGCCCGACGCCCAGCGCCCCGGCCCCGGGACGGATCCCGCGGCCCCGCATGCCTTGATCCGAAAAAAAGCTGAAGTTTTCTTGGGGCGCCCCCAGCCGCCCTCCAGCATCTCCCTCGCGTGCCCCAGGGCTGGGGCTGCTTAGGAGGCTCAGGCTACAGACGCCTCTTCGCCCACCCAGCCCCTCTCATACTAGCTGTTGTGCCCAGGACGCACCCCAGCAAAGGAGGCTCGAGCTCGGAAAGCATCTTCAGCCGCCGCACTCGAGTGTCCACAGACTTCCTCTCCCGGCCTTAGCCTTTTTCTCTATCACACACGCCAACCTTCACTGACACGGACACAGACGCGCGCGAGCACACACACACACACACACACACACACACACACACACACACACGCCACCGCCTGCTCCTCTCTGGCCCTGTGGAAACAAGGTCGCTGGCCTAAATTTGGGAAAGAACTACTCTCGTGGGGTATCAGTTTCTACCTCCAGCGGGCACCCGGGCAGACTCCGAGAAGCCTCAGCGGAGCTGTTGGGATGGGGCAGCTGCGAGATCGAGTCTTGGGTCCTCGGCTCAACGCTGAGCCCCGAGTCCGGCCCCAAAGCTGGCCCCACTGCCAGGCAAAGGCTGTCCCGAGCTAGGACTCCTCTGGCAAGCTCTCCGCAGGGACCAAGCACCCGGGAAGAGGCTTGCCCGCAGCCCAGGCCTGGGAAGGGGAAAGTGTTTACCAAAGGCAAGGGAGTGTTGAAAACTGCACCCCAGCAACAGAAAAGGCCCATCAACCTTCCCTTCCTCTTTCCCTCCTTCCTCGGCCCATTGCCATATGAAAGCAGGGGAATTCTCTGTGTGGGGTATCGGGGAAACCCCGACGCAGTAGGTCACAGGCCCTAGGTCCGGGGAAGAAATGTTTGTTTATTAATTTACTGAAAGCCCCTAGTCTACTGGGTTCACACACCCGATATCCAAACTGAGCGGAGGGTTACAGTTTCTCAGTAAAAACAAGCGAGCGGTCCCTCAGCTCAAGTCCAGTGTTAGGAATTAACGTAAAGGTCCAGCATTGAAGAGGAGGAGAATGGGACGTTTGACTTGAATCCATTCTTCCTTTGCTTTTCTTGGAAAGGGCCTCTTTATTCTCCCCCCCCCCATTATTGCCAGGGGGACTGGGGAGGGGGGGAAGCAGGCTGCCTCCCTGTTAATTTGAAAAACCCAGTCCTAAGTAGAAAGCAGCGAGGACTTGCAACTGGGTAGTAATTAAATTCACGTGTGAATATTCCTCACGCAAAAGTATGTTTCTCATTAGCTTTACATCTCTGTTGGCTCTTTCCTCTTTCCCCCTCGTTTTTTCCTCCCTTTTCCTCCTGTTCAAGTTTTTTCAATAGCTACAACAGAAATCTCAGAAAGATCCTATTTTTTCTCCCAATTCCACGGCTGATTCGGAGTGATAAGAAGCTGTGAGGGTCTTATCTCTTTGAGGCAGTCGGGGAATCCGGCAAGACGCAGCTTCTTGAGGGAGGCCGGCCCATTGGCTTCCTAAAAAAAATATGGAATGGACGTGAATGAAGTTAGGTACACAATGACCTCCAACTTAGCCCTCGTCTGTCCTCTTGCTTACGTCCAGGGCTAGCCTTCGGGGAACCCTGATTTTATCCTCTTTCTTTTTGTTAATTGTCTTCTCATAAACAAAGGACGGACAAGGGGTCTGGAATAGTCCTCTGGCATCGTTGGGAGGCTGCTGGTCCTTACTTGAGGACAATTTTGTTCGTTGTAAACGCCTAAGACTTAGCTGAGAGCAATAGACTTTACTATCTCCGAACCGAGACAATCCCAGTCGGTCCTTTCTCAGCTTCAACCTAAAGAAAACTCTTCATAGTGATAATCATAATAATCTTCAACATCACAACAATAACAAAAAAAAAGAAAAGAAAAGGGATTGTTCTCTCAAGCTGCCTAAGTATTCCTAACCTGAGCCCTAGCTAAATAATTGATACTCAGCGAATTGCAGCTTGAAAGAGGTTGAGAAGGAAAACTTTCCAACCATATTTGAAGGAGAGGTCATTGAACTGGCCTAGGTTTTTATTTTGAATGTGAAAGCAACGGTTGGGTTTTTTGTTTGTTTGTTTTTTCAGAGAAAAATACCCTAGCCGTCAGCCTAATAAGCTAGTGTAATTAAAAACCGCTTTCCTCCCTGCATATAATTCTTTTTTAAGGGTATTGCATAGCAAATGAATTGAATTGTAGACGCCGCCACCGCGCCAGGCTCTCTAACAACCCTCCGTAGACCACTAGCACCAGAGGTTAATCTAACACTCGAAGTGGCTTTCAGAGCAAACCGAGAGGCGGCAGGTTGGAAAAGGACTGCAATCTGGTTTTTCCTTATTAAGGGGGGGGGGGAGAGGCCCGCAGCAGGTTGGCCCAAAAGGCTGGAAGGGAGAGTGGCTATTTTCCCCGTATTTCGGCACCGCGTGGGACGCAAGGGGCTTTTCTGTTGTTGTTGCAATCCATGCTCGCGAGGAAAGTGACCCCTTGCCTCGGAATAGAATCCACCTGGGGACTCAGCTTTGAGCTGTCTTCCCTGGAATTTTGTGGGTCCCCTCGACTCCCACCCGGGATTACTTTAAACTTCCTGAATCTGGGAATTAGCCTTTCCGAAGCTCCCCTATTCTCCTTCCAGGTTCCTGACTCTTAAACAAAATTCACTGGGCAAAGACATGCATTTAAGGTAGTAGATACATAAATATTTATTCCAATGACCTGGGACTGCATTTCCCCAGCGGGTCGCGTTTTCTGCGTATACACAGAGTCACATAACTTAACCAGAAGGATCGTAGCAAAGCTCTGCCCTAGAGCCAGACGCAGAAGCTGTCTCCCAGCTTGGCTTTTGCCGGGTTTTCTCGGAGACTTCTCCCAGAAGAGTTCCCTTGCCCCTGCCAACTCACTCAGCCTCAGCCCCTGGCACAGAGCGAGGGAGCGGCGTGCCCCCGCATCCACAAGATCAGCCTGCAGGACCCCTCTGGTCCCTCCTGTCTTCCCGCCAGCCCTCATCTTTCCCGGGTTCCCGGGTTCCCGGGTTGCTGTTTCTTGCTTGGTGTCCATGTAACAAAGCCTGGCGTGTGGGGCTCCCCGCGACAGACCCAGCGAGGTCGCTGTTGCTCAGTCCGCCTCAAAGGAATGCAGGCGCCTGGCCGCTGCCTAATCGTGATCGTAACCGAGGCCTTGCGAACACTACCAAGCCAAAATGGAGTATCTGCCTCAATTTTCTCCTCTCCTCGGAACCCCATTACTTCCCGAGTCAGTCAGTGGAGACTTCAGTTTCTCGAGGCTTTCCTCCAAACCTAACCGCAGTACCTGAACAGGAGGGCTAAAGCGAATCCGCAGTTAGCCCACAAACCAGGCCTGTGCCCCAAAGTCCAAAATGAAAGGGGGAAATATAGGGAAGAGCGAATAAGAAAATAGAGAGCAGAGAGGAAAAAAGAGAAAGGCAGGAAGAGAGAGAGAGAGAGAGAGAGAAAGAGAGAGAGAGAGAGAGAGAGAGAGAGAGAGAGAGAGAGAGAGAGAGAGAGAGAGAGAGTGAGAAAGCAGATTCCGACTTCCTTCCACCTTGGTCCTTCCTCGACAAGTCTAGACCAGAGGTCTCAGGGAGAGTGGGGGAGAGGAAAGAGGTCTCATGCAGATTTCTAGGTTTCCTCTAATTCTTTCCTGGGAACAGGAGACTTTGGGCTTTTAAGCGCAAAACAAGGGCAGCTGAAACGCGGGTCCAAGCACCCGACGCCCCCATTTCTTCTCAAACCGCACCTGACCTTGAATGGACCCTAGCCGGAGAAATTCCTACCACGCCCCCGCCGCTACCGAGGGAGCTAACCTGACCATACCTGCTCCCAGATGGGGAGGGGGAAAGGGAGGAGCAAGGGATGGGAGGAGATAAGAAGGAGAAAAGGGAGGAGGAGGACTGGGTGCTCCTCGGTCCCCGCACGCCCGGATCCGGGAAGGTCAGGCGGCGGCGAGGCACTGTGCTCCGAGAGGAAGTAGTGGCATTTGGACGTGACGCCTAGTTAGAGGTCCGTCCACGGCCTCTGTCTTCGGCCCCCTGCCCACCGGCTCTCTATACCTGGTGACGAATTCAACTGAAGTAATGAAGGCAGTATCGTGCTGTCGAGAGAAAGGTGGAGCCCCAACAACAGGAAACTACCTAAATCACAGACCAGTTCTGCTGCTCCCCCAAGGCCCGGCTCCTTATGTAGGGATTCCTCTATAGAGAGAAAAACAAAATCAGGTCAAACCCTAGACCAAGGCGCCGCCGCTCCAACCTGCCCGGGGCCGCCGCCACAGCCACCACCGCCACCACCACCACCACCGCCACCGCTCCAGTCTTATGACAGCTTAAAATGGGAAAAGGAAAGAAAAAGATAGAGAGAAGGGAGGGCGACAGGGACAGAGGGATAGGGAGGGAGGAGGGAAAGGAAGGAGAGGGAGAAAGAACGAGAACGAGCAAGAGAGAAGAGAGAAAGTGTGTGTGTCTATGTGTGTGTGTGTGTGTGTGAGGGGGGAAGAGAGAGAGAGAGAGAGAGAGGGAGAGGTAGAGGGAGAGGGAGGGAGGGAGGGAGAGGGGGAGAGAGAGAGAGAGAGAGAGAGAGAGAGAGAGAGAGAGAGAGAGAGAGAGAGAGAGAGAGAGAGATTCGGTGTGTGCGTTTGTTTTCCCCAAACCTTCAAGTAGGGCGAATCGTGGAGAAAAGGGGAGGGCATTAATGGGCCTACCATAAAGCCCTAAAGGACTGAGCTGAGCATCGGGTTCAAAGTCTGTCCTGGAGGAGCTTTGGCCCAGCAGCTTGGACTAGCCAAGCCTGCCGGGGCTGTCCCTCCCTTCCTTCTCCCCCTCTTCTTCCTCTTCTCTTCAAACACTCCCCCCAGCGCCCTCTCGGTGTTGCTCCCCCACCCCACTCCCCAGACTCCCGCCTCAATCTGGCAAGGCAAAAACCTCCTTGCCTCGCCAGGTTAGAGCAACAAGGTAAACAGAAGGCCTGGGGTGGGAGTGGGGGTGGGAGGAGGTGAGGGGAGAGGGCAATCACAGTTGAGAGGGGCTTTTGGGGAGGGCGAATTGGGCTTGGGGCACCCCTATCTCTAGCCATCCGCCACCTCCCTTGTAGGGCTCACCTTCCCAGCAGCTCCTGGGGCATCCGAGGGTTGTGGGTGGCACCTATGGCCTGCTTCCTGCCTAGGAAGAGACCTCGATTCATTAAGACTGGGTGTCGGCCACAAAACAAAACAAAACAAAACAAAACAAAACCAAAAAAATCGATCTCTGATCCATTCTCTACCCTCCAGAAATACTCCGTGGCTTCCTCTGTCTATGCAGCTCCTCACTCGACTGAAACCCCTCTCTTGCCCAAGTCAGCAACAATCCAGATATACTAGCAAGTCATAAAAAAGGAACAAAAGCCCGCAAACCTTAGAGCCGCATTGCTCTACGGCCGAGACAAATTACGACTGTCTAGGTAATATTTAAATGGATGCCTCGAGTAATTGCAGGGAGCCCAGGCACTATTCCTGTTGTAAAAGTTGGGGACGAGATAAAGCGGGTGGTGAAGATAAACAGTCACAAAAGAGGTAAAATTAAAAGGCTTCATTCCACGGCTTTTATTCTTCTATATAAGAACATAAACATTGTCTTTTTTTTTCCACGCACAGCAGCATTACAATATTAATTTATTCTGATTTAAGGTAAGAAGTAAATAGAGCTAGGACTAACATTTATAATAACGATAGAATGCATTTGCTTAAAACAGTATTGGCAATTCTTTAATAATAGACATTTATACAGATTTGTATTTAGACTTCTCTTTGTTTCTGCACCTACAGGTTTGACCCTTTTATGCATGTAACTTCACAGTATAAAGGAAATCCGAACAATGTCTCCCTTTCTCTCTTCTACCTCGTCTGCTAGAGTCCTCTGAAGGGTCCCATGAATTTCAGTGAGCAAAATAAAAGCGAAATTTACTCCCCCCTCCCCATAAGGCAGGGAGAATTGTGTGTGCTTGTCACGTGCTACCAGTGGTAACATTACTTAGAGACAAAAATCCACTAATTCCACATAATATAATAAGCAAAACTACATTAGGTCAGTATCTACAACAGGGAAGATAGCTGGAGTTAGAGGTAAGTGTGAACATTTAATACCTGAGCAGCACAAGACCTTGTATGGGACCAAGAGAGGTCTCCCTTTCCTGCTCAATTTTTAAAGCTGTGACAGTTTGCAGAGAAAAGAGAGAACTGTCTTTCTCTCCTTCTTTTTCCCTCTCTCCAGCTTTCCCTCCTCTCCCCCGTAAGACAATGTCACGTCCTTGTTTTCACCCTGCGTGTTCGAGGTGGTGAAGGCCTTCCCCTTCAAAAGGAAAGAAACTAGGAACTGCAAGGCAAAGAAACAGTATCTCTCTCACACACACCCCCACCGCAGCTCTGACCTGAACGCGTCCAAAATGGAAAGCCTCGACTACTCACCCGTCACCTCCCCATAGACACCTTAGCGCTTACAATGTCGCCAGAATCGCCTGGACTCGGAGCCTGGCTAGACACGCACGGCCCTCTGAGAGACAACACTTGGCTCATGAAAGGAGTGGGGAACGAGGGAGGCGAGCAAGCTCGGCCCAAGACGTCGCTTGATGTGACTGCCCGTTTTATTTGTTTGTTTGTTTGTTTGCTTGGAGGCATGGCTCCCCCTCCCCATTCACCCCTAGAAAGCAAGACAAACCAACCACACACTCCCCACCCAATCCCGCCTGGCAAAGCTGCTATGGATAGATGGAGAATGGAGAAAGGGGTGGGGAAAAAAACAACAACAACTCGTGACTCCGGGTGATACAGGTGCGAATCTCTAGCGCCTAGGAAGAAGGGTTACTGGCTCTTTTCACTGTCAAAACGTGGTGGTCGTTTGGAGGTTCATCAAGAAAAGTTAAAGTTGGCTGTGAGCTCTCGGATTCTGTTTTCTCGGTTCATTTTCTTCAGTTTCATCCGTCGGTTCTGAAACCAGATCTTAACCTGTCTGTCTGTGAGATGGACGCTGCGGCTGATCTCTAGGCGCCGCTCTCGAGTTAGGTACATGTTGAAAAGAAATTCCTTCTCCAGCTCCAAAGTCTGGTGCTTAGTGTAGGGGCATCGCTTCTTCCGGCCGCTCTTTGCAGTGAGCCAGTTAGCTGCGTTCTCACCTTTGGCGCTGCCTGGGGTCGAAGAAGAGAAAGCAGGGGAGGGGAAGAAGGGGAGGGGAAGGTAGAGGAGGGAACAAGAGAGGAGGAGGAAGGCAAGTTACGGCGAGGCCCCCATTAGAGCACAGCACATCGAGGACCCTGGCTGGCAGGAGGCGCCGACTCTGACTCAGGCTCCCGGGGAGCCCTCGGGCTGCTTTGGCCCAGGACGTCGTTGAAAGGCCTTTCCCGCACATCGTCCCTAATGGACCCCAGACTGTGGAAAGGGAGGGGGGAGGGCTGAAAGCTAAAGAGAGAAAGGGGTTCAAATCTCCCCTTTGGTCATGCCGAGGAGGGGGGCAACTTCATTAAAAGACATTTTCTAAAGGCCTCCTGCTTCTCTCTTTCCCCTTAAGAACACCCCACACTCCCCCAAATTGGGTTTTAATTGGTTCTCCAAACACCTGTTTTCACACAAAGGGAACTAGCGGGGAGGGCGCAGAGGAGAGCTTGGAAGCGAATGCTGGGCACAGGGAGAAGGGCGGCCGTATATCTTGAACTTAACGCCTTTCTTTGCCTTTCCTTCCCCTTCGCAGACAAGCATTTCCTCTGCCCCCCTGAGCTTGGGGGCAGGGAGTCCCATTATTGCCCCAGGGTCAGCAGAGGAAAGGCTTGGGGGAGGGGACCTTGGCTTCTGCCCCAACCGGTCTCTACTGGACTGAGGGTGGGCGTGGGGATGGTGGAAGACGGTTGAATTTGTGCCAAAAGGAAGGAGGAAAAAAGATCGATTGGGTGTCCTCCCCAACCCCCCAACCCCCAGCCAAGAATATGGGAACTTGGGGAATTCCAAGGTAAAAAGAGGGGGGGAAGCCCTACTATGCTATGACTCCAAGCTCTAGGTCTGGGGTAGGCTGGACTGGGCTGGGGGTGTCAGAAGAGATTCCCTGCGACTGCTCCTTGAAAGGAGGATCTCTTAGCGACTGTGACTTTGCAAAAGACATTTGGGATCGTAAACTACAACTTCGCCCGTTAATAGGGCTTATTTATTGGCGCCGGCGGCTGATTATTTTGGAAGCTTTACAAACAGCCTTGTTATCTGCGAACCTCGCTGTCGGGGCTGGGCGGGTGGGCTGGGGCAATTGGGCTAGGGATTCTGACAAGGAGGAAGAGGATGGTAAGGAGAAGGTGGTGGAGGGTGGTTGCTCCCTGGCCTCCTGGTCCTGATCACCTCCAACCTAGCTGGCCTGGTGAACGAGCCTGGGGCTAGAGAGCAGAGGCAGGGTGCAGGCTGCACTCTAAGCCGACATTAATTTTTACTGCTTCCCTGCGTCCAAATATTAAAAAAAAAAAACTAAACCAAGTTCACAAGATCAGCTGGAGTGGAACTGTGTCCCAGACCGAGCCTGCCGGCTGCTGGGTTCCCTCTTCTCTCTCGGAGTTCGTTGCTGACTCTCTGCTATTTCGGTGGCTCTCTACCTCCGACTTTCTGGTCTCCCCCTTCTCTCTTTTTCTTCCCCTCCCTTCCTCTCTGTCCTCTTGTTTTGTTCCCTCTTTCCTCATTCTTTCCTGATCATTCTGTAACTAGCCTTGTCTCTCGTTCCCGGTCCCTCTCGGCAGGTCAGTGTCTTAAGCACACTTACCTATGGGGTCTTTCTCCGGAGAGGGCTTGCTGCTCTCCGAGGGAGCGGGGGACAGTTCCTCGGCGGCGGAGGACGACGCTTGTGTCTCTTCCTCCGCAGCCTGGGATCCACAAGCTAAGGCCGTGGGCGGAGGCGATTCAAGGGAGCTCTCCTTCCTACCCGTCTCAGCCGAGGCGGAAGCGAGAGCGGGCGGCGAGTCGAAGCGAACTTGGGGCTGCTGGGGGAACGGGGAGGCGCCCAGCTGAGACCCCGATGCTGCTGCGGCCGCCACCGCTGCCGCCGCGCTATAGCTCTTGGAGCTGCCGGTGCCATAGGCTTGAGACAGGCGGAAATAGCCCGGGACCGGCACGCCGCCGCCGCCGCCCCCGCCCCCGCCGCCGCCGCCGCTGTTGAGGGCGCAGACCTCGGGAGGGCCCCGCTGGGGGAAGGAGACTAGCTCTGGGGCCGTTGAACTTTTGGGGCATTTGTCGGAATCATAGAGACAATAAGAGTTTTCCTCTTTGATGTTCTGAGCGAAGGAGCAAGAGGTCGCTTGCTGCTGCGGTTGCTGTGGCGGCTGCTGCTGGTGGTGGTGGTGATTCTGGGGCTGTTGCTGGTTCTGGGACTGTTGCTGCTGGTTCTGCTGGGGCTGCGGCTGCTGGGGCTGCGGCTGGTGATTCGGGGGCGGCGGACCATCCGGCTGCTCCATTCGGCACGACCTGGGGCCGTCTAGCCAGACCTCCATGCCTGACATGTAAGGGTGCGACGAGGGCACCATGCCCCCCGGCGATCCTCCTCCTTCATTGCGTTTGCTCAGGACCGGGAAAAGCCCGCAGCTTTGCAGACCGTAGGACAACTCGGACGCCTGTGGCAGGTAGTGAGGGTAATAGCCGCCGCCGCCGCCTCCTCCTCCTCCTCCTCCTCCGCCGCCGCCGCCGCCGCCTCCACCTCCACCTCCTTCCCCTCTGCCCGAGCTGATCAGCGAATCCACCAAAAAAGAGTTCGCGGCCGGGCTCTCGGAGCATGACATTGCTGTGGGATAATTTGGCGAAGGGAGCAGATAGCCCTTTCTGGCTGACATTTCTTGTACAAAACATGCTGAATAGGGTTAGAGATCCCCCCGCACCTCGGCGAGCTACCGCAGCCAATGAAGAGCCAGGGTTTCCCAGCGACCCCTCCCAGTTTGGTTTCGTAGGCGCTGTGCTGCTCTCAGGTCGACCTCTGAATTGAGAATTTATATAAATATGTAATGTATATTGATGGGCCCGGAGACACACGCCCCAACACCTAGGGCTGGGACTCAGGACTCTGGGGGCGCGATCTTGACCAGGATTTTGGACTAGTCACCAGATCCCTCCTTCCCCAAGTCATGCACCCCATTTTCATGGCGGGAGGGGGGAACTAAACTCATCTCTGTAGCGCTCCTGGGCCCTGATATCAGATAGTAAACAAGTGGGGTGTTTATGACGCCTCCGACCTAGCGCTATCCGGGAGCCTGAGTCTGCCCTTGGCTTGTTCCAAAAGCCTCTCTCCGGATAACGCATGCATATGAGCTGACTTAAATAAAACGACGTACACATGTCTCTTGCTCTCCTCTTTTTCAAATTTTGATTTGGGGCAGTTGGTGGTGGGCAGGTCAGTGGCCTCCCAGTATATCTTTTAGCCCTGCTGTTTTTCTCTCTGCCCAGTTTAGGGGGCAAAAGAGATCTTGGCTGGGATTTGGCGTTAAATTCTTGAGAAAGTAGTTGTCCCCAGAGCATAAGGCTAGCCTAGGATCTCAAATGTCAGTTCTGGTCCAAGGCAGACTCTCAGCTTCAGCTGAGAACCCAGGCAGCTCGGGCGGGGCTCCGAAGAGGAGTGAGGGGAAGCGCCTCGGGCCAAGGCAAAGAGCCGGGGAACTAATGAAGAGGGAACGAAAGAGAAAGGATCCTGGAGGGCCAGCCGCCCAGAGAACCCGTACACCTCTCCCGCACACAGGGGGTTCCGGCTGACTCCCTGCCCCGCTAGCTCTCCTGCCCTCGTTTTGGTTTCTCTTGTAAGTGAGGTAGGCGCTGCGACTTATCTCCCTCCTCTCGGAGCCAACCACAGCGTCTAGGTCTACGCCGCACTCGGTCTGTTTCCTAACCTTAGCGGCTACTCTACTTCCTCTCTGTCTGTGTTTGTTTCAATCTGTTGACTATTGTTATTGTTGTTATTTCAAGAATCTATTTAGCACAGTGCATGCAAACGATCTCTGTGATTTATATCGCTTCTAGATCTGACATTCTGAGATTGGGAACTTTTTAAAAGGTCTACCTCGAAATCCCACAGAAGGCAGCATTGAATACCTGGGCCTGGGACCGAGAGCCTGGAAGGAAAGGCCAGGGCCTAACGTCTTCCCGGCTTTGGCACTGGATAAGCAGAGTGGCGACTTCTCTGTTGTCGTCCCCCCGCCCCCTCCTTTTCTGTTTCAAGCAGAGTTGATAGAGGTAGGCTAGGCAGCCGGGACCAGTGCTATCGCCCTCACAAAGGTAGCGCGGTGTGATTTTCTTTTCTAACGAATCTAAGAATTCTCAGCTCATTGCGAAGCCTCCTAGAGCCCATCTCCGCAGACAGAAAATCAATTTTCCAAAATAACACCAAACTCAAATCTACTCCCCCCCCCACAACATTCTTATCCACAAGCTTCTCCTTCCCCACCAGCACAGCATTCTGAGGGAGCAAAGAGGGTATAAGGACGTGGGGAAGGGAAGAAAGAGAAGCGAGATGGAGAGGAGGGAGGAAACACTGCAGCCCAGGCTCTTCCCCTGCCTTTAGCCTTGGCTTTCACACAATCTCGGAGGATCTGACAAGAATCAGCGTCACTGTTAGCCCTCTCTTCCTGCTTCTTGGTTTCCCCCTCCCCTCTATCCTCCTCCATCTCTCTCCTCCCCTCCAAACCGCATCGATCTGTCAGCCATGTGGATATTTTAACATGGGTCTCAGTTTAGGAAATTCCCTCCCAGGTTGTGACAGGCTCCAGGACAAGTTATTGGGGAGTGGGCCGGTCAGGCAATAGGGCAGCCGGGATGATTTTCCATAAGAGGGGCCGTCCCTGAGCCTCCTCCCTCTCCCTCCTCATCTTGGAGGGTCCCTCCTTGCCAACTGTAAACGCCAGGGTATGGGAGAGGTTGTCACAACTTTCCCCAGCCCCATAAAAGGTTTATGGAAAGGCGACGTTCTCCGGGTGTGATCAAACGGACCCCAGGAAGTGGCTGTCTTTATAACAGGGAGCGAGGACCAGGCCCAGGCATCCGGCATAGATTCTGTGTCTTCACTGGCCTCCCTGCTTATCCTCGATCTTTCCTGAGTCTCCCTCTCTTTCCCACCACCCCCAACTTCTTGCTTAGTGTTCCCAGAAAATCCCCTCTCCAGCCCACACCTCCTGCTGGCTCAACACCCCCCCACCCCCCACCCCATTTGCTGGCTGACCTACAAGGCTCCTCATGCGCCAGAGTACTCTCAGTGCAATGAAACTCGAGCCCTCGGCCCACGCTCCAGATCCTTTCTCAGCCCACAGCAGGTATAAAGCTGGGCTCCCTGGGGCAGGTTTCTCCCGGCTCTGCTCCACTTGCCGGGCCGCGGCCAAAGGAAGGCCTGAGCCCCGGCCTCACCCAGGGTCCTTTGCCGACAATGAAGCACGTCTCTGGGAGGGAGGCCCTCAGAGCGGCCAAGGCCAGAGGCGAGAGGGGGCCCCCATCAGCCGCAGCTCCTAGGCTAGCCAGAGGAGAAGTGGAATAGGGATCTGGCTGTCCGGCCAGGCCCTGTGCTTCTCTCCTCCTGCCTACTCGAGAAGTGCAGAAACCAAGGTCTGGCCCAGCCCCACACAGCGGCGCCCCCCCCAGCCCCCCTCCTCCCCTTTCTTTCCAGTTTGCCAGTCTCCGAGTTTCATCCGATACACTTCATCTGCCAGGCGGTGGATGCTGCAGCCGAACCCAGGAAAGGGTTCAAGGAGAAGAAAAAAGAGGGCAGGGAGGAAGAAGGCAAAGAAAAGGTACCAGTAGGCCGGGGCCTCTCTGCCTGGGGCAGGGGCTAAGGCAGGAGCTGGGGCTAGGCCGCTAAGGGTCAGTTTCCTGGTGTCTGGAAGAGGGAGATCATGAACCCGCTGCCGCCGCCTGTTAGCTGTCCTGCGGCTTTCCTCGGTAGCTCACAAGGCCAAGGCAAACGGCAATCAGGCTCATCCTAAGTGGCCGAGGTAAACCCGTCACACACATTTCTTGCGGAATTTAGGGGGTGCCCCTACCCGCACTCCCAGAACCTTGGTGAGTCGACTCCTTGTCCAGGTGTTACATCCCACTTCCTGACTGCTGCTCGGGCCAGCCTACCCCCGGCCACGCTGGGCCCTGGGGAAATGAATGGGAAAATTAAAAAGACCCACGGGGCCAAAGAATTGGATATGTGGGACCTGTGTGCACCCTACTCATCTCCAGGGGCAAATAACCCTGGGTCCTCAAGGTTAGAGAGTGCAGCCTATTCAGCGGCACTGAAGTGGGCAAAGAACATGGGCAACTAGGAGGGCACAGACCTCCCTCCTCATCCTAGCAGTGCGAGGCTGTTAAATGCATCAACTGAAGGCGCTGAGGTTCCCCCTCAGCTCGCTAATCTTTGGGTAAACCGAAATTCACTAACTCTCAGAGCAAATCTGCCTTTTTATTTTTTTAATGCTGAGTAGTAAATGCTGAGAATCTGTTTTTTTTTTTCTTTTTTCTTTTCTTTTTTTTTTTTGAGTGTGGGCTTTTCCTGCTCTTGGGCAAAGAGCCTCCTCAGGAAAAGAGAGAGAGAGAGAGAGAGAGAGAGAGAGAGAGAGAGAGAGAGAGAGAGAGAGAGAGAGAGAGGAAAAACTTCCATTCTATCCCATCCCCAGCACCGAAGTAAAGCACTTTGAGATTGCTACCTAAAATTCAAGCTGCTGAGACAACAACTTGGGCCGCTTAGCCAGAATTCAGAGAAAATCCCTAAGGCCCCCGCTGTCCTTAGCGAACTCCCCCTAAAACAAAATGGCATAAGCTCCCGTATTTCAGAGTTCTCTATCACTTGTCAGGACCCTGTGGAAGAGCCAAATGGGTTTTTGTTCTGGATCTGTTCCAAAGTAGGCGGCTCCCCGTCACCCCCTCCTCGCTGCAGCCTAGTGCCAACGGAGGGGACGAATGACAGACTCGCTCATTTTTATCTTTACTAGAATACTTTCTTGCTGGGTAGAGCGGGCCCCGGCCGGGACGGCAAGGAATTCCCTGCAAATGAACAAACGATACAATATAACCGTGACTCCAACAAGGTAAAAGCCTTTAGATGGTTCCCATGGCCTTGTGTGTGTTTGCATTGTAATAAATGTATTGGATATATTGCCTTGTAATCAATATGTTGGATACATTTGTTTTTCTTTTCTCTCCAATACAACGTAGTACCGCATTATTTATATCAGAATGAAATAGGAGGTCCAGTTCCGTCCCATACGCTAGATATCAGTGAGCATGTTATATTCCCTACAGATATATCTACATTTATTATTGACTTTAGAAGCATAGATTTTTCCATTTGAAAGGACCATACATACTGTTTGTGCACACAGAACATACAGCCACATATATTGAGGAACCAACGCATTAGGGCATGTTTAGGATTACAAAACCCAGATTCCGAAGTTGCAGCACAAGCTCAAGTTAAACACCGATTTCCCTCACGCTTACCCCCCCCCCCTCCACGACTATGGAGAAGGCTGCAGACCCGGACTCTATCCTAAGACCAAACTGGCTTCCACATGTAAATATGGTGGTGTTACCTTCATTAACAAAACATTCCGATATCCAAACATCATTTCCCAACGTGTTTGAATGGACAATTTGCACAGAAACATCCATTTGGAGCTACGGCCCCTGTCACCTCGTTTCACTACTTTCTTTCACTAGCTCAAGACGCCTTTGACCCAAACGGTTGCTTCCTCTGGATGCCTAAGCCCGAGCCCCATGGCTTGCCCAGGCCCAAGCTCTGATTCTACTGAAAAGTCCCGAATGGCCTTGATTGCTCTCCGTGTCCCTGACTATATTAGAGAGGCCTGGGCCTCGCCTGGGAGCTTTGAGTCACCCTGGACATTTTCTACCGCCAGGGAAACATACCTTTGACCTTACATTGAATTTTCCTTCCAAAACGAACCCTTGCATAGGATGAGAAATAATAAATTGTTATTGCAAAAAGCAAGCTTGTTTTGTTTTGTTTTGTTTTTAAATCGAGTTCCTAGGCTGATCCCATTGGTAAACAATTTGTATTTAAAGGACGAAGGAGTGGATGGTGGGACTTCCCGATTTTTCTTTAGCAGTATTGGGAAGTGGGATGCAAAGGCCTGCAAAAAATAAACAGTATTTCCAAGATAGTCCCAGGTCGCCTAATTCATGAACTCTGGAATTCTGTCAATAGCTTTCCCGAGATCGCTACACATATTTTAGAAGCATTTTTCGTTAGCAATGACGTCTCTTTCGCATTCATCTCCAATAAGGTTAACGTTTCCTATTTAGCTGCCCTGAACCAAGCTGATAGATGCGCCCTTTGCTTTCAGCGATCTCTATCGAAATTTTGCTTTCTGCCGAGATCAGCCTCTTTATCATCCCTGGCTTTCCAGAGGCCTTTTCCTCCAATTCAGAAGTTGCCTGTCTTCTCTCCTGCCCTCTCTAAATGGCCCTTCACTCTCCTTGAAGGGGTAGGCCCAAGCACGAAATACGAAAGACCCCTGGAACCCAGGAACCCAGTGAACCAGACGCAGAGTAAAGAAGTTACCCGAGGTCTCAGCCTCATTCGGTAGCACGGTATAGTGAAAGAATCTCCTATACGGGGAATTTAGAGAATGGAGGGAGAAAATGAGTTAGGTCAGCCGTTCTTCCGTTATTAAATGCTCCAGAAACTGGGCCTGTTTTAGGAAAGCATCGAATAAGAATGAAACAAAAAAAAAAAAGGAAAATATATAAATATATATGGAGAGAGAGACAGAGATGGAGAGTGAGAAGGAGGGAGCAAGAGGGAGTGAAAGAGAGGACAACGTGGCCTAGAAAAATAGAAATGAATTATGTCTGTTTAAATCTAGTTTTATGAAAATCCTGATGTAGAAATTACATTGTCAGAGTTCATGCACAATGCAAGCTTTTGAAAATTCATATTTACCAGTACCTCTTCCCAATTCTGCTGGTGCAGAACTCTGAATCTGCTTGCTGCCCAATGGCCTTCCCTCTCTAGAACAAAGGTTGCCCACTACGCCAGCCTGCAAATTAGGGAGCAGCACAGAGTGGGGGGACTAGCCTTCCTGCAGAATATACAACAAAACATTCCAGCGAGGCATTGAGCCATCTGATTCTGCCCGAGTTTAAGGCTGCACCGGCAAAACTTTCAGAGGCAGAGACCTCGTCCGACAAAACACCACCCACCATACAAGACTACAGCTCTACAAAAATGACCTTACTCTCTTAACACTTGCCCGCTTCTCCAGGCAGCTCGACCGAAGTTGTGACAGTACAAACAAGACAGACAATTGTTTCTAAGGAGAACCTTGAGTTAAAGCTCCAACTTTTCGAATGGGTCCGAGCTCGTCTCTCTTCAGCCCCGGGGACCTTGAACCCAAAGCGCGGATCTTGGGCGGGGTGGCCACCAAGTCTGACCAAACCCTCAGAGCCGTTTTCCAACGGACACCACCTGAGAGTCGAACCTTCAAACTTGTGGGCACTTACCTTTTGGGGGGTTCCTAAGGCACTGCCCATCTCTTCCGCTGGCTCGCCCTTCCCGTCCTCTCGAGTATGTGGGAGGTGTATTTAAATGCAATTAACACTCTATCTTAAGGACCCCCTTTTGCGACTGGGAACAGGGGAAAGTGAGATAATTTAAACGTGCTTCTCCTAGGATCTGAAAGGAACAAAGGCCAAGCCAGCTTCTTGCAGGGCTCCGAGGCTCCCACGGCGGCGGCTTTGACATTGATCGGAAGCACGCCACCTCGTGGCCGCCATGCGCCTAGGCCTGAGAGGGAGTCCCCTGTTTTCAAAGACTGCTCCCTCTCATAAAGAGATGCTGGCGAATGAGCCCAGACCGCTGCTATTCAGATCTAATTTTTACATCTAAGAAATTGCTTCAAAACCTCGGCTGGGTTTATAGCAGAGCATTCCAAATATGCAAATCGGCCAGTCACGGACGGGTTTATGACCACATTGTCACAGCAACCAAGAGGATGTGATTTTTATTGGGCCAGGAAATCAAATCCTCCGACCAGGGAGCAGCTCTAGGCCTCCACTCTCTCCAGCAACTTGCAGCGAATTTCAGTTAATTTTTAACTAGCAAGAAAAGGAAGTACCTACTTTCAGCCTGGAGGGCTCAGAGATTCCTCCCTCCTCTTCCCCTCCCCCAGCATCCCATATATACCCCCCCAACACCTGCCATTCCTCAGTATCTTGGTCTTTCTGTCTGTGTGTCTGTCTGTTTAATTTCCTTGCCAGGCATCTCTCTGTCCGGCTGGCTGACTTTTCAACCTGCATCCAGCAGGCCTTACCAGTCAGATAAACAAACAAACAGACACAGGCTCCCCTTCCTCACTCTCAGATTATATCCCTCTCCCCAGGGCCAGACGCCCTCCTGACTGGGTGGGTGGGTGGGGTTGAGGGGGTGGGGTGGTCAACAAAAGGTCCTGGCTGGTTCGCCCTTCACCTCAAGGTTATGGGTGATGTCCAAAGCAAGATAGAAGTTCAAAGCCAGCAAACAATAAGAAAAGTGGACTACTTTCTCCCCCCCAAAAAACCTCCCAACAAAATGGAAAGGAATAAAAGGGAAAGACTCCCTTGTACACCAATAGAGAGGAATCCCCCTTTGGAAGGATCCCCAAGAGCTACCCCCAGCCCAGTCCTTCTTCATTTTTCACACACTTTGTCTCCTGATGTACCTAAAAACCCTTTCCGGGCTAACTGTTTGATGATGATCCTGGACCAGAGAACCACAAACCCAATTCCCCGCCACCCAATCCCTGGGCTTGGATCAGAGAAGCTTGGGAAGGTGAGAAGAATAAAGTCTGTCCTGAAGACCCGCTCTGAGAAGTACCCCAACTCTCGGCTATTGGAGGCTAAAGTCAGGACTTTCTTTTAATCTGCTTTGGCCAAGATGGTGGAGGCTCTGGGGACGGACTCTTAGCCTAGTGACCTCCATTAAGTCCCTACCCCTCCAACATTGATTTCCTTTGAACCTTTTCATTTGAAGCCTGGGGCACCCTTGGGATGAAGAAAGACAAACCTAACCAAATTCTCTCTAGTCAGCGGAGAGTGAGTGGACTCAGTGTTTCTCTTTTTCCTTGTTCCCTATTCGTGGGTGATTTGATTTCAGGCATTTGGCGAGGGGAAGAAGTCAGGGAGAGGAATGTCACAAATCAGGATAAAAATGATCAAGTTTCTACTTTTTTTTTTATTTTCCTTGTGCCCCATTGCAGTGTATACATGCAGCCCAATACCTTGGCATACGAAAAGAATACTGTACATACATAGAGACGATACATTTCGCAAAACAGTGATGGAATATGAAGATACTGCATCTCACTGAATCGTGGTAAGGAAGGACGCGGCCCCGTTTGGTAAGCTAACCGTCCTCCAATTCATTTATAGGTACCCCTGACTTTGCACAAGTTTGAAAAGCCCCTTCCCTCCCCGCTTCCCCCCCCCAAATTAAAACATGTAAAAAAAAGTATTCAAACAAAATAGGTTATGGTTTCTTTATTTACAAGTCTTGTAAAACACTGTTCCTGTATGAAACATACATTCAAAATTCTCACCAGTAAATTAACCTCGCCATGAACATCGCTCCCTTTGTAAACAGATATAGAATCTTAAATAGTTTTTCATTCTTCCTTTTTCTTTAAATTGCATTTTTCTTCCATCGCTTTGGTTCCTGCAGGGAAATATATATATCTCTATAGACTATTTCTCTTTTAAAATAATTGCAAAGAACTCTCCTTTCCTGGTGGATTTCGGGCAAAGCCTTTTAGGACATGGAATGGTAGGGCGGACACACGCACACACACACATACACACACACACACACACACACACACACACACACACACACGCAACTGGAAGGGAGAAAACAGAACGAGAGTATTTACATTGTCTGCCTGCTCTGCCCGGTCGTGGAATTCCTGCCTCCCTCCCTCCCTTTGCAAACAACACTGGATGAAAGGGCTTTTAGTGATCCGATGTCAGTGCATTGCACAAATCCACGTTTCAATTAAGTGTTGGGTGGGATTTGCCAAACTCGCTCTCCACAGGTATTTCCTGAAGAAAGTTTGGGGAGTCAGCAACAGCCTGCAAGGGGAGTTTGTCTTTTCTCTCCCTTCTCCCTCTGATCCACTGTTGAAGTTCAGGGGCTCAGGCCGAGCCCCGGGAGGGCTCTCTCCAGCGAGACTACTTCCCCGCTACAAAACCCAGAGTCTCTCCAGGTGGGCAGAAGGCTGGGGCTGCTGGGATAGCACTTGTTTGTTTTCCCGAAGGGATCGGGCGAGTCGGTACCTGAAATCTTTCAGAAACATTTCCAATGTGCTCCCTCTCGTATGTCTCTTTTCGCATCGGCTGTTGGAGAGAGCATTGCTTGTCTTCCTTTCCATTGAGGGAAAGCGGGGGCCCTGGTCTCAATGAAGACTCCCCTTCTTTCGGTCCCCTACCCCTTCTCCCTCCTCCCAAAGTTTTCAGTTTGTTCGTGGTGGTGTGTGGTTGGTTTCTTGTTTTTGTTTTTTGTTTTTCCTTTCTAAGTTTGATTTCGCACTAGTCCTCGATGCATATTCTGGGTCTTGGACACTTCCATCCCAGATCAGCCGTCCTGCACTGGGGCCCAAGCAAAGGGACCTACAGCTAGGTGTGGAGACCCCTTCCCTCTTTGTCCTATGCTTCCTTTTGGAAACTAAGGAGATAGTCTCCTCATAGCGCGGGTGCAGTGTCTGTCACAGTAAAAGGTAAAAGCTCCGCCCTGGGGCATGGGGTGGCCAAAATACTCCGAGTAAGGGCACAGGGGTCCCAATGGAATGGATTCCAGTTGATATGGGAATAGGACAATGTTATTGTCCTCCATAATAACGCCAAAACCCCACCGAGGGTCCAGGGTGCTGTTCTGGCGTGTGAACCCCACAGTTCCCTCTGTCCCTCGGTTCCACATCTTCCTCCTGAAAAATCACCGTGTGGCTTGACCTTGTCAAGGACAAAATCTGAGTTTAATCTCCTCTTGAAAAAAAAAAAAGCCCCACGAACCCCCCAAGGCGGGACCGACTCTTAGAGTAGCGGGTTGGCGGAGTAGTACTGTAATCGGTCTCTGTTAATTTTTTTTTCTTTCATGCGTCTGTTCTGAAACCAAATTTTGACTTGGCGGTCGGTCAGGTTGAGCATGCGAGAGAGCTGGAGACGCTTCTCCTTGTTAATATAGACACTGAAGAAGAATTCTCTCTCGAGTTCCCGAATCTGGTATTTTGTGTAGGGGCACCGTTTTTTCCGGGTCCGCTGGCCACCTGTGGAATGAGAGAGAAGGTAGAGAGGGCTGTTGAGGCTGGAGGGAGGGGTGGCCTTGAGGTTTCAACTTAACCCCTTAACCTGAGGAAGGGGGCTGGGACTTCCAGCACCTTTGGGCTAGGCGTTCCCCTAGTCTTCCCTCTCCCAGGCTGTCTCGGCTACCAGACTCCTCCTGACACCTTCTTCCCCTTCCCCAGACCACCTTGTCTCTCTAAACCAAAGCCGGGCGGGGCAAGGGGATCATTTCTGCAGGAAGCTGGCTGAGGAGCCTAGCTAGCTCTCCTCGCACAACCCCAGGCAGAGCCCAGATAAAAGTCAGTACTTCAAGCCAGACCGCCCCCCCCCAAGGAAGGCAACACACCAGACTCAAGATCAGAAACGCATGTTCTTCCAAGCAACAGGCTGCAGGGGCTGAAGCTTTTAAAGCCGGCTGGGGGCTACCCTGAAGCTCTTACGGCCCTGATAGACTAAACAAACAGCTCACGGAAATTTCACCTCCTAGCACCTGGGGCATCTTTTCGTTTTTCAAGGGGCACAATAAGACCTCCCTCAGCCTGGCCACTGCTGTTGGGCTTGGGTTTGGCAAACATTTCGGACTTTTCCCCTTTTTTTTTTGTCAGAGGCAAATGGTCATTGAGTCTAGACTTGGCCAGTCAGTCCCGACTCATAGCCTGCCCTTGGTTAAAAGCAATGGCTCCTGAGCAGAGCGGTCTCTTCTTCTAGCCCCATAATGGGACCCTGATCCTGACTTCCCACCTCTCCCAAGCAAGCTCCCCGAGATTTCAGCAAACACTCCCCTCCTCTCCGAGGTCCCTTCCAGATACGACCCTCTGCAGGTAGGGCAGATGGGGAGAGACAGAGCCCAGTTTCTCAAAGCCTTGTCAAGCTTGGTCTTAAAGAAGGGTTGAGGGGAGAGGGGGGAAAAAACCCACAGACATAAAAAACCTCCTTCTGACAGATTGAATAACAATCGTGAGGAGGAACACGCCGCCGGACAGAAGGCGGCCAGTAATTGCCACAGTCCCTGAGTAAAATGGCTTCCTTTGGACAAAAAGGCCAGCTTTGGGTTAATTTGTTTCTTTCTAATATATTGCTAGCGTGGGCCGTGAGGGCTGAACTAGCCGGGCAACCCAGCTCCCTCTCTCTTTCTCTTAGGCGGTGGTTACACATCAGCCCTGCCTTTGAATGTGGGCCCCTAACTAGACTCTGGGCGCAACACATGGCTTTTATAAAAAGCGCTGGATTACCTCGGTATCAAAGGCTCCGGGTTTTCTTTCGGGGGTGAATTTACAGGCGCCCCCCCCTCCGCTTCCCCCCTTCCCAAGGGCTGACCCCGGAGCGGGAGCTTGGACTCTGGGCGGCTGCCTGGGGGGTTGGGGGGTGGGAAAAAAAGAACCGGGGTGGGTGCTTTTCTTTCCTTTTTTTTTTTTCAGGCCTCCATTGGCCGGTGGGTATTTCACGGCCAATTTCAGCCCTCGCCACGTGATCGCGCCTTTTTATAACAAAGTTTTGTTGGGGGAAATCTAAGGGCCCTTCATAAACCTTATATGCTTATAAAACAGCATATAAAAATTTAACAGCGGGGCTGCGCTACATTTCCAAGTCCCCTCTCGGAGAGCGCGCGGGGCGCTGCCTTTATACCTACTGGAGCCGCTGGATTTGTCCTCATTGTTGCCGGAAGATGACTCCGGGCTGCTGCTGCTTTCAGTCCGCCGGCGCCTCTCTTTTTCCTCTGCCGTGGCCGCCGCCACTGCCGCCGCCGAACTCTCCCTGCCGCAGCCGCCGCCGCCGGCGTCCGAACTTGAAGTTGGCGGGGCTGCTGCAGCAGCCGCCGCCGCCCCAGCCGCCGGGGGCATTTTGTCCGAGCCCTTGTCCCCCGGGTAGTCGGAGGAGGCGGCGGTGGTCAGGTTGTCCGGGGGGCCATATGCAGTCTCGAAAAACTGGTCGAAAGCCTGGGGCAGGACCCCGTTCCTGCCCACCGTGCTATAGAAATTGGACGAGGTGCCCGTGGTGCTGGGGTGATGGTAGACGTTGGCGGAGTTCTTGGCCAGCATGTCGCCCACGCTCGCGCTGCCGGAGGCGGGCAGGCATTCCCTGTGCATGAGCTCCTCTGCGGAATAGCAGTGGGGCAGGTTGGCCCGGGGGTGCCATTTACTGGAGGGCTCAATGGCGTACTCCCGGAAGGTCACTTCTCTTACAGGTTGTACCTGGGGGAGGTTGGACGAATAGGAATATGTCATGGGGCGAGAAGATGGGGTTTGGGGCAAAAAAGAAGGGAGGCTCGAGAAATCAGGACCCGAGACGTAGTAAGTACAACTGGGCAAATACATGTTAGACGAGCAAGGCACGCGCTCATCAAAATCCATCCTGGGCTACCTCGCTCTCGGCGCATTAGCTGAGCTCCACATGATTCTCTGATGCAGCTGCGTCTTTGAAGCAGATCCGTGAAGTAGAAATTTGGAGACGTAGGCTGACGTGGAAATCTATCCCCATCCTTAGCAGGGAGGTGCTGGTCATGTGACCAAATGTTGAAATTGACAAGCTGCGAGTCTGGGCCCTTTCCCCCCCCTTCCTCCCCAACCCTCCCCCCCTTTCCTTTCTTTGTGGCCATCTCAAGGGAAGCAACAGATCGGCACTTGGTATTCTCACCCAAGGCTCAGTAATCTCCAGTGTAACTCATGTTTGCTGGGGCACCCTCCGAGGACCGCCGGACGCGTGACAGACCTTGCCTTGCTCCCCTGGGGGGGGGTGGCTCCAGCCTCTGCCTCCCTCCCCCCCAGACTACAGACCTCGACTGTCCATTTCACCCCTCCCCCCCTTTAGCCTGGTGAATGCTTGCTAGCCTTAGCCAAGGTGATATTGTGGAGGCATAGGGACTGGGGCTGAGGGGGGGGGGGGGGGGCTTGTGCTTTCTGTCTCTGGTTCCGCCTCGGGCTCTCTCTCCTTCTCTCTGGCTTCCTGGACTCCCCTTTCCCCCTGCCTCCTCCTAGTAGTTCCCGTCAAGATCTCCTGCTTCCCACTCGCCCCCCTCCCATATCCTACTCCTCGGTCTATCCGTTTCAGGACTAGCCTCAGTCTCTGTGAATGTGCTGGGCTCGGAGCTTGTCCGATTTGCACGGTGGCTCCATTACACGCTCGCATTCACGGTCACTTCCGAGGCGCTCCAATAACTCCCCTTCCTTCACTAGGAGCCTCAGCAATCCCCCAAGGCGATTTTCACCCGTGCTTTGCCCGACCTGCTCAGCCATGCAGGGCGTTCGTCTCACCCGGGATCTTTCTAGCTTTTTGCCCCCACTTCCTCTCTTCCTACTGCCCCTCCGCCTTTCCACGCTTGTTCCCCAGCTTCGGAGCTCCCCTGATTCAGAGATCTGGACTGGGGCTGAGTTTGGGAGGGGAGGGAGTCTGCATGCTCTCCTCGACGCCTAGCACTGATGGCTTGGGGAACCAGTGGCCATGAAGCGAGTCCGGGCTCCAGAAACACTTCGAGTCTTGCTTAATTGCCACCAGCCTAAGTTAATCAGAATTGACATCCAAGGCTCTTTCCAGGAGCAGGCTGGATGCTCAATGACTCCCCAGCTACCGCTTCACCGAAGCAGGCAGACCCAGACAGAACTGGGGAAGGGGTGCTGAGGGAGTGGGTGCCCGCAAGAAGAGAATAGGAGAAGCTGTTTTTGAAAACACGGTGAAGGCTTTGCCTCTCTTTTCTTGAAAGAGAAGAGCGAGTAGGCAGCGGCGGCTGGGCAAGTCAGGGACTAGAAAGTCTCGGTGTGCACCTCACAGAACGAGGAATACCAAAGAAAATAGAGAGCCAAATACAGCCCCTTTGGAAGGAGGCAGCTGGACGAAAGAAATAGACAGAAAGAGACGCAGATACCCAGAAAGAAACAGAGACACCCACAGAGGACCAGAGAGACACACAGAAAGACAAGAGAAGAGACAGAGACAGAGTCAGAGACAAATAGTCGGAGAGAGACAGAGACAGAGAGAGACGCCTGCGGTTATTCTGACAATCTAATTCTTACTCGCTTTAGAGAAAGGGAAAAAAGTCAAAGAGGTGGAGGAAAATCCTGGCAGTTCTGTCAGATTTAATTGCCCAGCTTTGGGGGGCGAAGAGGGGGGGAAAAATCGGTGGCCGTGGCAGCCAGCCACAAAGGGCGCTGCAGAAGCCGGGGTGCTTAGGAATTGATCCCATATTCCATCCCTCTTTTCCTGGCTCTTCCAGGGGTAAGGTACAAAAAAGAACTCCAAATATATAAAGGGCTAACCTTTTCCCATTCCCCGTCTCCCGCTCCCAGAGGTCAAAAGTACCTACATATCTGGGGGGGGGGAAGGAGATTTGCAGCCTAAATTCAAAGATCTCCAGTATTTAAATGTCAACATCGATTTATTTATTTATTGCTGAGCTGACCGTAACTGACTTAATAACAAATCTAATCATGTTTGCTCCGGGAAAGAAATATTCTCATTATGTATTTTCGCCCGCCAAATGATGGCTCACCATTCCATTTGAATACCTGCTATAAATATCAATAATACGCAGTAATTACTTTGTAGTGGAGTAAACTAATTTATTAGCATTTATGTTTATATGTCTTTTTTTTTTTTACAAGGATTACTTCTCACAAATCACATCCCTCGGACTCCGCCATTTAACGAATCAGGGTCTGCGGCAAGAGGACCTTCCGATTCTTAAGGTTGGCGGGATAAATTTCGGGATGATTCCATCATTCCCGGCTTGGGTAGAGGTAGAGAAATAAATGGGTGGCGTGGGGGAGGGACAGAGCTGAGAGGAAGGGAGTAGGAAGTTCTCTACCTGAGAACCACAGCAAGAGATTGCATTTCAAGGAAATAACGTGGATTTCCAGAGGCAACTCCAAGGTTGTAACACGTTTGCCTCCTGCCTTCTCTCCTGGCTGTATCCTCTCCTTCACTTACTCTCGGAAAAAGGAAAGGGAGAAAAAAAAAGCAAAGAAGAAAATTGTACCTCTTTGGAGATTTAGGGTTTTTCCCTTTTTCTTTCCTGTGTTGAGGTTTCGATATAAAAATTACAACCTCCCCCACCCTCGACTCCCCCCCTTCAACCACCCCCCTCCCTCTAACAAAAGGGCTGTCTGAAGGATTTCAGTGACTTTGAGATAACAAAGGCGCCACCATCGCAGCTTCGCCCCGCCCCTGGGCGATGGCAAACCTATTCTTGCACTTGTATGAGGGCTTTTAAGGCCATAATTGAACACGGGACGTCTAGGAGAACCAAAACTGTTCTAGACAGACCTCCGACTTTATAGCCCTTTGGCAGTCAACTTCAGCTTGGGGTAGAGCAGACAAATCCGCAGTCCTCAGCAGTGAGATGGACGTGCCACCCCACCCACAGGTCCTGGTTGTCCCTTTTTAATTAACTGCACCCCTGCCTTAGAGGGAAGAGTGACCCTGAAAAGGTTGGTATGAGGGTGTCAGTCAGTTTACCTTTTCCAGCTCCATATCTTTTTTTTCCCATCGTGGTGGGGGGGGGTACACCTTTACCCTCATCACCCCCAAGGATATGTGGAAACAAAAGCGATTTCAGGGATTACGTTGCGTAGAATGAGAGGGGAGAGGGTGGAAGTGCAGCCAGGGTGTCTGGTTTGAGTAGGGGGCCTGGCTGTGACTTTGGGCACAGTCTGGGGGATGAGGGGGGAGGTTTGCAGTGGTTACTGAACAAACTGAGCTGTGAATGGCGCGTATGTGAACTCCCAGGAGTAGAACTGTCCCAAGAGAAGGCTTTGGAACCCAAGGGAAGAAGAAAGGCCAACTGCGGTTGGCAAATCTTTTGGGACTGCTAGTGGGGAAAGCTGGGAGCAAGGAGGCAGTGTGTGAAGGGATAAAGGGGAACCACCCCTGCAGTCAGAGCAGTCCTGTTCACAGCTTTATTTGCTGTTAAATGAAACCTAACTCATTACTCTCCTAGCCTACTCGAAATGCCTGGGCGGGAGATAACTGGGGCGGAGAGGCAGCTGGCTGTTCTGCTCATTTTTTTTTTCCGAATAGGAGAGAATATTCGTTATTGGGGAAGAGGTGGTGGAGGGTGTGGAGAAGAGGCCCAAGGCTGCCAGGGAAAAGGCGGGGGCAGTTGATTTTGACTTTGCTCTTTGCCTGTCTGAAGCTGTTTCAGGAGGTCCAATCCCAGGGCACAAAGCTCACTCAGCTCAGGAAGAGAGCCAGCGGACGTGGGAAGGGCAGGCAAGAACCTGAGCACATCAGGTCCCTTGTCCCAGGTTCTCCAAGCTTTCCCAGGTAAGGAAGAACCAAAGCTCTGACACTTGTCAGGGTGATCTGGTCTCTCAAACTGCGTTTGGGGGGAAGATAGTCAAATAACCTAGGAAATAGATCTCAGAGCTCGCATTCGATTTATTTAATTTTATTGGTCAACATGGAGTTTCTTAAGAGCTTTATGTGAAGTGCCTAAAAATTCCTTCAGGGGAAGGAAAACAAAGCCAGGAAGTCTGGACATTTGGATTTGCGTACTTCGGGTGAACAGAGGCAAAGAGTGCAATTCCTTCGAGCTGTTGTGTAAAAACGTCAAGGTCTCTACGGCTCTGGGAGGGTTGGCTACTCCGGTCCCGTTGGATGCATGTTTGGGTGAAATCCATTTTTGCAGAAAAGAGGAAAGGGGGGAAAAAAGAGGCCACATCTGCAGGCATCCAAGTCACCTAGGACAGTAGTGATCCAAAGCAGACTTGGAAATGCGGAAGCGCATAACGAGCGGGGCTGGCCGGAAAAACAAACCAAACCCTCGCCTTGGACTTGGCGGAGGAGCCAGGCTGGGAGCTCGAGCTATTGTCCAGTTTCCCCGGCCTCTCTGCATCTGAGCCACCGCCATCGGTGGGCAGTGGACTATAGAAAGGTTGAGAGGTGGGTGGAGAGCTGGGACGCCGTTTCGCCCTCATACTCCAAACTTGGGCTAGCTATTCCAATCAGAACTGGCTGGCTGGATTTGTCTGGGCCGCTCGCCTAAGACTTCTCTTTTCAGCATAGGGACCCTCCGGCCGCCGCTATATGGTGGGTGGGCTCCGGAGGCGAGCGCCCAAAGGGAAAGACGTACTTTATGCTGGTCTAAAGTCCCCAGTGTCCACCCACTAGTCTGGCTTTGGAAACTACACCTGGTTTTGATTTGAGGTCTTATCGCATCAATTTTCCCACCCCCTTTTGGAGATATTTTCTTCATTCCTTTCTTTTCTTCTTCCCTTCTCTCTCCTTTTTTCTTCCTCCCCTCTTTCTCTCTCTCTCCCCCTCCTTCCTTCCTTCCTTCCTTCCTTCCTTCCTTCCTTCCTTCCTTCCTTCCTTCCTTCCTTCCTTCCTTCCTTCCTCTCGAGAAGGATGGGATATGTCTCGAATTGAGGCCATTCTCATTCACAAGGGCTGACACTTTTCGCCTGTCTCTTGCCTGCTCACTAGCAACACAT